AGCTTAGCTTCTCAGCTTAGCTGCTTTTAACAAAAAAAAAAAACTGGATTTAGGACGGTTAAAACAGGTTTTAAAGAGAAAGGGAGGCGTCAGTGAAGAACACCAGAGTTGAATCTTTTTTCATCCAGTGTCTTCAGTAGAAAGAGAGAGAGACGCGAAGAAATATTTTAATATATTTTGGAAGGGTGACGCAGTTGGTAGAGCTGCTGAGAAAGAAAGAGAGATAAAGATAGATATAGCGATATAGATAGATATAGAAATAGATATAGAGATATAGATAGCTAGAGAGAGAGAGAGAGAGAGACAGTGGTGAGACCAGTTATGTTGTATGGTCTGGAGACAGAGACATGGACAAAAAGACAGGAGACAGAACTGGAAGTGGCAGAAATGAAGATGTTGCGGTTCTCTTTAGGAGAGACAAGGATGGATAAGATTAGGAATGAGATCATCAGAGATACAGCACAGGTTGAACAATTGGGAGATAAAGTTAAAGATACCATACTGAGATGGTTTGGACATGTCCAGAGGACTTTTTTTCTCTCTGTGTGCTCCAGTGAAGACAGACGTGTCTCCCTGTGTTCCCGCTTCCCTGTTTTAGGTATATTCTCGTACCTAGACAATAAAAAAAACACAGAGACTCAGAGTAAGATTTTGACCAAGCCCTTTGCAAAGAGGGAAATCCACAATGACCACCTTCTAACGTGAATCAGAGTGAACTCTGAAGCCTCGCTGTTTGAACTTGCCTTTTATTGGTAAGAGTGAAGTGAAAAAAGAACAGCAGTTTCACATCAACAATCTGGGGTCACAAGATAGGCGTTGGCAGGGCAGTTTGGGTTGAAAGAGAAGAGTCTTCTCAGAAAGACATCTTGATTAGGCAGATTACAATGAGGGCAAGATGATCTTAGAACATCCATCCATCCATCTATTTTCTTCCGCTTATCCAGGGGTCGGGTCGCAGGGGTAGCAGACAAGTAGGGAGGCCCAGACTTCCCTCTCCCCAGCCACTTGGTCCAGATCCTCCAGTGGAATCCCGAGGCGTTCCCAGACCACCTGAGAAACATAGTCCCTCCAGCGTGTCCTGGGTCTTCCTCTGGGTCTCCTCCCGGTGGGATGTGTCCGGAACACCTCACCAGGGAGGTGTCCAGGAGGCATCCTAAACAGATGCCCAAGCTACCTTAACTGGCTCCTCTCGACATGGAGAAGCAGCGGCTCTACTCTGAGTCCCTCCCAGATGATCGAGCTTCTCACCCTGTCTCTAAGGGAGAGCCCAGACACCCTGCAGAGAAAATTCATTTCAGCCACTTGTATCCGAGATTTCATTCTTTCGGTCAAAACCCAAAGCTCATGACCATAGATGAGGGTAGAAACGTAGATCGATCGGTACATTGAGAGCTTTGCCTTTTGACTCAGCTCTCTCTTCACCAAAACAGACCTGTACAGCGCACGCTTCATTGCAGACGTTGCACCTATCCGCCTTTCGATCTCACGTTCCATTTTTCCCTCATCCGTGAACAATACCCCGAGATACTTAAACTCCTGTAGTTGGGGCAGGACCTCCTCCCTGACCCAGAGAGGGCACTCTACCCTTTTCCGGCTCAAAACCATGGCCTTGGATTTGGAGGAACTGATCTTGATCCCGGCCGCGTCGCACTCGGCTGCGAACCGCTCCAGCGAAAGCTGTAGATCATGATCTGATGAAGCCAATAAGACCACATCATCTGCAAAAAGCAGGGACGCAATCCTAAAGCCATCAAAACAGATCACCTCAACACCTTGGCTGTGCCTAGAAATTCTGTCCATAAAAGTTATGAACAGAATCGGTGACAAAGGGCAACATTGGTGGAGTCCAACTCTCACCGGGAACAAGCCCGACATACTGCCGGCAGTGTGGACCAGGCTCTGACACCGGTCATACAGGGACCTAACAGCCCATATCAAAGGGCCCGGTACCCCATACTCCCAGAGTACCCCCATAGGGTTCCCTGAGGGACGTGGACGAACGCCTTCTCCAAGTCCACAAAGCACATGTAGACCGGTTGAGCAAACTCCCACGCACCCTCCAGGACCCTGCTGAGAGTGTAGAGCTGGTCCAGTGTTCCACGACCAGAACAAAAACCGCACTGCTCCTTCTGAATCCGAGGTTCGACTATCCGATGGACCCTCCTCACCAGAACCCCCGAATAGGCCTTACTAGGGAGGCTTAAGAGCATGATCTCCCTGTAGTTGGAACAAACTCTACGGTCACCCTTTTTGAATAGGGGGACCACCACCCCGGTCTGCCAATCCAGGGGAACTTCCCCCGATGTCCACGCAATATTGCAGAGTTGCGTAAGCCAACACAACCCTACAACATCCAGAGCCTTAAGGAACTCCAGGCGAATCTCATCCACCCCTGGGGCCCTGCCACCGAGGAGCTTTTTAATCACCTGGGTGACTCAGCACCAGAGATTGGAGGGCCCGACCCAGAGTCCCCAGGCTCCACTTCCTCAGTGGAAGATGTGCCAGTAGGATTGAGGAGGTCTTCAAAGTATTCTGCCCACCGACCCACGACATCCCGAGTTGAGGTCAGCAGCACACCACCCCTACTATAAACAGTGTTGTTAGTATACTGCTTTCTTACCCTGAGACGCCGGATGGTAGACCAGAATTGCCTCAAAGCCATGCAGAAGTCATTCTCCATGGCCTCTCCAAACTCCTCCCATGCCCGAGTTTTTGCCTCAGCGACCACAAAGCCGCGTGTCGCTTGGACTGCCGGTACCCATCAGCTGCTTCCGGGGTCCCACAGGCCAAAAAGGCCCAATAGAACTCCTTCTTCAGCCTGACAGCATCCCTCACCGACGGTGTCCACCACTGGGTTTGAGGGTTGCCGCCACGACAGGCACCGACAACCTTGCGGCCGCAGCTCTGGTAAGCCGCCTCAACAATAGAGGCATGGAACATGGCCCACTCTGACTCAATGTCCCCCACCTCCCCCGGAACATGTTCTAAGTTCCCCCGGAGGTGGGAGTTAAATCTCAGTCTCACAGGAGACTGCCAGACGTTCCCAACAAACCCTCACAATACGTTTGGGCCTGCCAGGTCTGACCGGCATCCTCCCCCACCATCGGAGCCAATTCACCACCAGGTAGTGATCAGTGGACAGCTCCACCCCTCTCTTCACCCGAGTGTCCAAGACATGTGGCCGCAGATCAGATGAGACAACAATAAAGTCGATCATCGAACTGTGGCCTAGGGTGTCCTGGTGCCAAGAGCACATATGGACACCCTTATGCTTTAACATGGTGTTCGTTATTGACAATCCATGACGAGCACAGAAGTCCAACAAAAGAACACCACTCGGGTTCAGATCAGGGGGGCCGTTCCTCCCAACCACACCCCTCCAGGTCTCACTGTCATTGCCCACGTGAGCATTGAAGTCCCCCAGCAGAACAAGGGAGTCCCCAGGAGGTGCACTTTCCAGTACCCCCTCCAAGGACTCCAAGAAGGGTGGATAATCTGAACTGCCATTTGGTGCATAAGCACAAACGACAGTCAGAACCCGTCCCCCCACACGTAGGCGGAGGGAGGCCACCCTCTCATTCACCGAGGTGAACCCCAACACACAGGCACCAAGATGGGGGGCAATAAGTATGCCCACTCCTGCTCAGCGCCTCTCACCAGGGGCAACTCCAGAGTGGAAGAGTGTCCAAACCCTCTCAAGGAAACTGGTTCCAGAGCCAGAGCCGTGCGTAGAGGTGAGTCAGACTATTTCTAGCCGGAACCTCTCAACCTCACACACCAGCTCAGGCTCCTCCCACCTGTGAGGTGACATTCCACGTCCCAATAGCCAGCTTCTGTAGCCAAGGATCAGACCGCCAGGTTCCCCGCCCTCGGCCACCACCCATCCCACATTGCACCCGACCCCTTTGGCCCCTCCCACAGATGGTGAGCCCATGGGAAGGATCTTAGAACATTTTGATTAAATGCTTAAGAGGAACAATGATAATATAAGATCGATTGGATATTAGTTGATATGTATAACCTTGACATTTCTGGTTTTACAAAAGAACAAACAATTCTAAGTAAAAACAGCTTGTGTAAGTACAGAGAATTTCCTATCGGCTCAGACGTGGACTGAATTCTCCAGAAACTTCTTTGCTTCGTATGAACAGAAGTGCAGAAATCATGAAACAGTTTAAAATGATAACATAATGAAAACTCTTACACCCTGCTTGCTCTCTTTTGTCTTGTAAACCCTTTATAGAGCCTCTTTTTTTCCTGCATACCTTCCTAATTCGAAGGATCAGCTGGTCTCTCAACAAAATTGATCAACTTCTTCCGACAGGAGTTGAGGTAAGGAGGACCCTCTTACCTCAACGGAAACATATTGGATTCATGATGACAACTGGATTTTGCTGTTTGGATTGGTGAAATCTGGATTGTCTAAAAAAAATTGTGGATGTGTCTAAGCTTGGCAGCACTCAGACTGAATTATGTGGAGCTGCATCAGAGCTGGTGCTGGCTGTTATCAGGACTGTGAACTTTCTGTCAGCACTCATGAATGGTGGGAATAATCTTGGAGAAAGCTGTGAGCTCGACTTTTGGCGTAAAGAATCAATTCGGCCGTTTTTGAGTTGCCATCAGAGAACTGTACCAGCGAGACTTTAAAAAGGCAAAAACAGCAATTCACGAGTTCTGCCTGACCCAAATTGTGGATTTGACTGCGGACTTATCTCAACTCCTCCTGGCATGTTTTGAAAAAACAAAGATGCTTTGTCTGTCTCCTCACCCCTCCCTTCCCCAAGGCCATGGACATGTGACAGAACCTCAACCAAGCTGATGATGAAGAACACCTCTTCTCTGGACAATGACTGAGAGGGGGGGCTCTGGACTATGCTACGACTTTCCCTTAAAATGAAATGTCTTCACCGGCCTATATGTAAATGTATAATGTCTATTTATGTGCTATGATGTGGCGGGTTTTTTGATGCCTCAAATCGTGCCCTGTCTAGGACACGGCGTGAGAGATCTTTTTTTTTATACCGTCTCTCCTCATGTTTTCTTCCCTTTTCTCATCTAAGCAAAATATTATTCTGAATAAGAATAAGAAAGTCGTGCTTTTTATAGTAGCAGCTTTGTGCACTACGTCCATCTTTCAGACGACTGTACGTACATGTTCTCATTGTATCTCGATGCAATGATGACAAAGCTTATTCTGATTCTGAGGGACAGTGATTTGGACATGTCCAGAGGAGAGACAGTGGTTTGGACATGTCCAGAGGAAGAACAGTGGTTTGGACATGTCCAGAGGAGGGACAGTGGGTATATTAGTAGAAGGATGTTAGAAATGCATCTGCCAGGAAAAAGACAGAGGAGATATGTCGATGCAGTTAGAGGATATGGAGGTAGTTGGAGTGAGGACAGAGTGAGATGGAGGAGGAGGACTCACTGTGGAGACCCTGAAGAGGGAAAAGCCGAAGGAAGCAGAAGAACCATAGCTTGTTATAGGTGCAGTTGGTGGGAATAAGGGACAACGTATACTCTCCCGGCAGCACGGTGGCGCAACTGGTAGAGCTGCTGCCTCTCAGCGAGCAGGTCCCTGGTTCAAACCCCGGTCCAGGGGCCTTTCTGGGTGGAGTTTGCATGTTCTCTCCGTGCATGCGTGGGTTTTCTCCGGGTACTCCGGTTTCCTCCCACAGTCCAAAAACATGCATGTTAGGCTGATTGGTAACTCTAAATTGTCCCTAGGTGTGAGTGAGAGAGTGAATGGTTGTTTGTCTCTATGTGTCCCTGTGATGGACTTGCGACCCGTCCAGGGTGTACCCCGCCCCTCGCACAGTGATTGCTGGACATGGGCACCAGCGACCCCCGTGACCCAAAAATGGAACAAACGGGTAAAGAAAATGGATGGATGGTATACTCTCCCACTGGTACATTTTCATCTTTAAATCACTTCTTGGTCTGCTGCCTTCATACATCTCCTCCTACGTCTCTGCGTGAGTGCAGCTACAGCGTGCGCTCTCAGGACATCATTACCTGCAGTGTTCCCTCAGTGAGGACTGAACTAGACAAAAGGACCTTCTCATACTCTGCTCCTGTTTCCTGGAATATCTTGTAAAAAGATCTGAAGCTCTCAGCCTTGACCTCTCTAAGTGTCTTCAAACATTTGTTAAGTTCATGGGAAAAACTAATGCAGACATGTTCCTGTTTTTAGTTTTCTGCATCACTTTATATTGTAGCTGTTGTTGTTTTGTTTTTGCTGTTTTAATTTTGTTTTCTTAGTTGATTTCTTCTATTTACTTTTTGTTTTATGATTTTTTATTTGACTGTCTATTATTGTGTATACCTCTTCTGTTCTTTGTATAAAACAGGTCTCTCTTGTAAATGAGTCCTCATGGCTCAGTGACACTGACCTGTATAAATAAAGGTTGAATGAATGAAAAGTGCTCTGGAATGGTTCAGTTCCTACTATTCTTTTACTTGTGGAGTACCACAAGGCTCATTTTAGGCCCTCCCATGTTCTCTCTATCTGTTCCCACTTGGTTCCATACTCAGTAAAAATGTCATCTCAATCCATTGTTGCACAGATGAGAGCCAAATTAATGTCCCTCTTTAAAAGTCATGTAAGTTCTATAAATCTGCTGCCTATGTGTCTTGAGGACATACAGGCCAGGACGGCACTAAACCGAAATTATGTTTTTTAAAAGCATGACTGGACCCTCCCCTTTAGATTTCAGTTCCTTGTCTTGGTAAACTGAGTACAGTTTTAAAATAATACAGTTTTTTTTGTTTGTTTTTAGATGTGCTGTCATTTAATATTAATTGTTTCATTTACTTTTCTTCAGACAGGCAGTCTCATTTACAAGAGAGACCTCTAACGCAGACTCATAAAATCAAGTACATGAAATAATACTATAAAAAATCATAAAACATGATGTTGATGGTTAAGAAGGAGAAGAGTATAACAACACCTAAAAACAAGAACAGGTCTGAAATGATGATTTCTCCATTTTCTTTCTAGTATATTTAAAATATTTCAGAGGGATCAAGCTGGACAGTTTCAGATCTCTAAATAAATTTTGCACCGAGTATCTTTGTTGGGATACATTATATCTATTACTCTTCTGAAACCTAAATGTTTCCCAAATTAAATTTTTTATTGCATAAATATAAATGAGTGTAAATGAGAAGGCAAAACTTTGAAATTGAAAATCATGTATTTCACAATAAAAGTGAACTAAAACAATGTGGTTTGTACAACAATGTGTTTTTTGTTGTAAATTTTACATATCTGAAGTAACCAGTACAAACACTATTGCAGTTGAAGATGTACATTTACTTTATTATTTACCTTTTTGTCTTAAGCCGAATTAAATCCGCTCAGTTAATAAAATCTTCTCAGAGATTGTAGAATCAGTCTCTTACACATGTGACGTATTTTGGACAAATTCAGACCGTACAAAACAGGGTTAAAAAGGGGCTGACAGGTCAGGAAATAAAGAGACAGGAGTATTCGTAATATACTAGAAACATTGTTCATGTTAAACCTGCTTCGTATTATTTCAAAAGAAACGCCAAAAGAGAAGTTGAGCAGAGAAGCCAGGTGAGGTGTGCAGGTACTGACGGCTTTCTGTCGCGTCTGTTTGGATCCAGAAAAACAAACTTTAAGGATCCTCATGTAGGTGTAAAGGATCACAGACACTGGAACGCAGACTGTCAGAAAAGTCATGACAAGCTCGTAGACATTATTAACTCTGGGCTCGGAACAGGCCAGTTTTATGATGGAGTAATTGTTACAGCAAATATTATTGATTACATTCCCACAGAGCTGCAAAGATAAACTCAAAAAGGTTGTGACACTGACGGCTATAAAAGGAGGCAACCATATGAGACATATCAGAAAAACAATTCTTCTTTGTGACATTATTGTTTTATATTGCAGAGGGTGACAGATAGCAACATATCTGTCATAAGACATCACAGCTAGGTTAGTAAATTCTACACTTGCATATGAATAAAGACAAAAGAGCTGCAGGAAACAAACAGGAGCAGAAACAGTGTGAACATCTGAGAGAACCTGGACCAGCAGGAATGGAAACAAGCTTGAACTTCCATACAGCTCATTTACAAACAGGCTGCACAGAAACATGTACATGGGTTCATGAAGACTCCTGTTCACACAGATGACCACGATCAGAACAACATTACAACCAATGATTAACACATAAATACTCATAACCACCATAAATATGCAGTATGTGCACGTACTGATATCTACGTAGGCACTCAGAGTGAAATATAAAACCTGTGAAGAATTTATTTTCATCCTTATTTTAGTTTGTAAATTAATCATGAAGACCTTCAACGGATGAATTAGTCACAAGTAAAACTGACATGATGACAAAAACCTCAAAAGCAAAAATAGTTTCCAGCAAGTCATCAAAGTAAACCATCAACGCCACAATGGTGTCATGGCTAAAGTTTACAGTTAGGAGTAAGACAGCGTGTGAATCACACAAACTCCTACCTGAGCTCAGATCTGCTTCTTTTAAGGAGTCCAGTTTGAGAAACACCCACATCGTCAGACCTCATGAGGTTTAATCACAACAGGACTCATCACAACTTTGAGATTTTCAATTCTGAAGGTAAAAAAATTCTCCACATTAGCTTTGGCCCAGACAAAACATATTTAGAATCAGAATCAGTTTATTATTGCAATGTCAGTGAACGAGGTTCACAAACTAGGAATTTGCTTCGACATAAAGGTGCAAATAATAATAAAGTAAAATAAAGTAAAAATGAAAATATAATATAAAACATGTGTACACCCATACAATAAAAAACAATTAAAAAAAATTAGAAAACAGTACGGATGGAGTATTCAATTATAATACAGATGTAATGTGACCAAAGCAGAAATTATGAGGTAACATTATGAGTGTTCAGGAGTCCAACAGCACAGGGGAAGAAACTGGTATAAAACAATCTCCCCTTCTGGTGCAGTCCTCTGTCATTTATTTATATCAGAACAGACTAAATATCAAGTTCACACTGTGATTTGTGTGATTTTCAAACTCAGTGAGTTGAGGCAGATGACTGTCCTTGGTCCGATTCTGTTGGAGGTTTCTTTCTGGTAAAACTAGTTGTTCCTTTTCACAGTCACCAATGGATGGGAGACTGTGATGAAATGGAAATTCAATTAATTCATTCAACCTTTATTTAAACAGATAAATCACAATGAGCCTCAGAGACTCATTTACAAGTGAGACCTGTTTGGACAGACAAAAATAGTGGTTAATTGGACACATGTATGTAGGAGTTGGAGGCAAAAAAAATTCCTATCAGACATTTTTCTTGGCTGAGAAAAACCTCTAATATTGAAAAAACACCTCGCACAAACAAGCACATATTTACGTAGATTTTCTGCATCAGAGACGAGAGCGGTCAACAACGCTTACAGATGCTCTCGAGGTCACTGTAATCAGTCAATGTCCTCCGGTGAGATCCATAAACATTCTCGAGGTATGTCGAGAAATGGCCAAGAATAACCTCTGTGAGAATCCAGAGTCCTGAAATGATGACACAAAGTTTATTCAGCTGGCTCATCTGGTTATCAGTTGGAAATTCCTCAGAGAGGGGAGATTTATATGCATCCTTTATGATTGTCTATTGTTGTCTTTGTTGTCCACAGTTGTCATCATTCTTTGTTAAAATCAGGTCTCTCTTGTAAATGACTCCCATGGGCTCAATGGGATTAACCGTTTAAATAAAGGTTGAATTAATCAGAATCAGAATCAGAATTTGAGAAATAACCGCAAACAGGGAGGATTGTAGGATTGAAGAGTTTTATTAAATGTGTGTGCCAACCATTGTATGAGAGAGCCCCTCAAAATGTGTCCAAATCACGAGTTGGGTCAAGTTGACATTATGTTATGAGAAAGAGAGAAATGTATTTTGTGTTTATTTTGCGGGAAGTAACCAGGCATCAGAATGTCTGGGCATGCTACCAGAGATCTGGTGTGCTGGGCAACTTAGCGAAAACAGCTTATCTGTATGTGCTTGTACAAACCTCTAACATTAATAGAGGAGTTCATAGAAGGTCAGAGAACATACAAACAGGACGGGTTCTCCATTTGGTCTTGTGCTGTTCAGAGATCCAGTGTTCTACAATAAACCCTGACTTTGCTGTCAATCAATATCAAGGTGTCAAATTAAAAAATCTAATACAACCTCTTTCTTTAAATAGCTTCCTGCATTTTGCTACTCCACCACAGTTTCCCAACATCACCCTATATGACACTCTTTTCACCTTTATTACATTCTTTGCTAACTCCTCCTTTAGTACCACTCCTACACCATTTTTCGTCTGTCCATACCATAGTAAAACAGTTTGAATCCTGCTCCATTGCTTCAAGCCTTGTTTCCCTTTCATTGGTCTCTTGGACACATTAAACATCTACCTTCCTCAGCATCATG